ACATGAGTTAAATTCGATGAATATTCACACATTTCTTCCTAATCCTGTTGTCCCAATTTAGCACTCATGCTACTACCTTCGTTTTTGTCATTGATCTAAAAAAAGACAGGATCGAGCAACCCATGTTTTCTGGTTAACAATGCAGCCGCTTTAAATTGACCGGCGACATATAGGATGATCCCAATACAGACGTACTACCATTTACAAACTACGGAAAGAAGCTTGTAGTAAATCTCTGCTGCCTTTTGCTTCCCTTTTGCTTTAGGCAGATCCTTTTCACCCTCTACCCTATGGCTTTGATTCTTCTGTTCGTGCAATTGCAGACAGAGGACCACGTCCTCTGCAGGTCTCTTTACACCTCAACTTTTACGTGCCATTCAATACCAATCCCAGCCACGCCAGAGAGACGAGCCAAGTGGGACACAGACGCAAACTCTTTTCAACAGACTCTTTGACGCTCTCAACGTACCTGGCCTTCGACAACCACTGTTTCCACTACTCGTCGACGCCCAGGCCCCACATCCTCGAACACAGCCCGCCACGCCCTAGCCATGGCGGAAAGAGTGGGAGTTCTCAGCGGCCCTTTCAGACCCGCCAAGACAGAAGATGACCACCCTGTTCCCGGTCGACTATCACCGGTGGGCACGTTCAGTCACGCGTTGCAGGACATAGCTTTCCGTCTTCTATGCTACGCACGTTCATGTGCTATCCGCATCGTCCCCGCCTCACCCTCATGGCGTTCGCGTACTAATTACAGTGCCCTCGATAATGTCATGACAATAATGACAGTGATGATGATAATATTGGCATAAACAGTATTAGAAATGAGAAGCTTTTCCCGAGATAATGGAATTGGGAAATCATGCCAGGTCACGTAGGGCCTTCTGGTTTACTCCTCGCACAGCCATTGATGTTTAAACTCAATGAACAAAAAACCATTGGACACTGCGATTAAAGCCATCAGTGATACCTCATTATTGACTTATTTACATCTGCGTTTTAATATTGGTCTATAATTATCGCCTTCTCCATTCTCGTTATTACAGATGTTTTTGTTGTTAATACTACTAGTATTGTTGAGGCCGAGCGACCACAGGATGGCCGCTAACCTCAAAAGCCGTTAAAGGTCCGAGTGTGCACGTGGAGGCGAGCACTCCGTCCCCTTCTATGTTACTGTCACGTCAATGCAAATGCCGGTCACTTCACCAAGGGCTTATTAATCCACAGGAAATAAAGGCACGGCAAACACAGGCGATAATCACAGTCTAAGGCGGGAAACGAGAGAGGTGTCGCGAGCACGTCTTCCTCAGGCGAGAGTCCGGCGAGACACCTCCTCCACAACAAAATTCCCGCGAAATGCATTAAAAGAGGGTGGTGTAACAGTATTGTCTTTGTTTACAATTACCGTCATTATCGTTTTCGCCCTTATCATCATTTTCACCCCCCTTTGTCCTTATCATCATCATGAATATGATTATAGATTCTCGTTATCATTTTCCTAATTTCTACCATCAATATTATCGTCTTCATCTTCACTTCATCTTTATCTGTAATTTCAAATTCATCGTCACCATCATTCTCATCATCATCGCTGTTATCATTAACATCATTATCATCATCTGTGTCATAATCCTGGTCATTATCATCACCAATATCATCATCCTTGTGATAATCATAATAATCATCGCTGCCATTGCCAGAAACATCGCTATCATCATCAGGATCATTATTATCTTTCTCATCATCATCATTACCTACGACGTATTTTCAACCTGAGCCTTCATCACCACGATACTAAAATTTGAAAAATTCTAAATAGTTAGTGCTAAAGTAGGCAGTTTTCTGTAATGAAATTTTGAGCTCATTTTCTTCGACGTAGTATAGGGGTAACTATTATTTTTGTCATTGATTCGTAATTTAGAAAGAAGGCAAGCGTTTTCTAACAAGGAAGTGACTACGAGTACGGCAGAAAAGCCCCTGATTGGTGTTCTGCGCATGAGTGGTGAAATTAACGGATTAGGCTAGGTTTTGCGTCTACTATGAGCTAATAAAAATGATCAGCAAGCATAGCTGCTTTACTTATAGTGGCCAGTATTAATAGAACGCTTAAATTCTTCTAATAATATCCGTTCTTTTAAATCAGTGAATGTCTGAACATTCTCTTTTTCAGCAACATATTCTACGTAAGTCTGCGACTCCAATTTTCTTAGGTCTCGAAACCTCTGTCTGTAGGCTTCTACTAATAAATCATAAGGCATCATAACCTTTGCATATCCCGGCCATTCCTTGCACACAGGGGAGATTTAGAAGGCAAAATATAACAGACAGTATGTCACAGCAAAGAATATCCATTGCAACAAATGGAACTGAAACTAGCTCTTTTAATCTTTAATCTCTTCAGCCCAGACTAAGCTTTTGCGCTCTGCTTGAGTGGCGAAACAAACAAGGTAGCAATGGAATAGGTTAGGCTACTTTAGGTTAAGTTTGGGTTAGGTTCATATTTTTTACCCAGTACTGGCGTTTTATATGGCGGATGTGCATATGTGTGACGTATGCCTAACCGCGAGAAATGGGATACGTCTGGCGTACACGTAACCCAGTCTTAAGAGAAATATACTGTTTTTTATTTGATTGTTTTCGGTGCCATTTCGGTGATAAGAGAAGTTTCCGATTTTCGTAGTTTTATACATATTATAACGGCCATATATCGCAATTTATCTTATCTCTCTATATGTCATCCCATCTATAATAAGAGAAATTCAGCTCATGCTAAAATAATTCCAGGAATAACACAGTTTACCTTTGTTATGAAATTCGTGTGTATTTCCTTTCCCATTCTCTCCTATTCCCACATTTCCACTCTCCGCAATGAACGAAACAAAAACTTTATCCGATCCCGCGGCGGCGAGCGGTTCCAGACAGCGTGGCGCCATGAAGAGCCACCCTTTGAATGTTGTTGTTGTGTTGCATGTTGTTGTTGCATGTTGTTGTTGCATGTTGTTGTTGCATGTTGTTCCTGGCAGAGTACAGCGACGTGACGTCAGTTTCACCATGGACGTTTAGAACACCATCTCAGTCAATTCAAAGTGTTTCGTACGTCAAAACCAAGTTCAACACACGACGCAGGTGGCAGGACCGTAACCAGATTGCAAAGGGCGCAGATGAGAGGTTCCATGTTACAGAAGGAGAATGGCTTGGATGGCAAATGCATTTAGTGTGAAAGTCTAGCTCAGTGAGGGTCTTTTCAACTCACCACGCTCCCTGAAGGTTTTTTTGACGTCAAAGAACCTTTTGGACGCAAATATCACAAATATCGCCATCAACTTCAGTTATTGTTCACATGTAATTATATCAAACAGTTTTCACTGAATGTGAAAACTAACCATATTGTGTAGTTAGCAGCCATTACTTGTTATATTAATCACCCATAATATTTGTGTGTGCATATATATATATATATTATATATATATATATTATATATATATATAATATATATATATATATATATATATATATATATATATATATATACATATGTGTGTGTGTGTGTGTG